CAGGAAATGGCATTTCAGAGACCCTAAATTCAAAAATTTTCCGAGGGGGCATGCCCCCGGACCCCCCTAGAGAAACCTCGCACCTGCGGCGCTCGGCTCGTGCCTTCGACACTCGTTTATCAAGCATTACAATATAGGGGCGCATATTAGTTGAAAGCCAACTGGCCCCCCCAGAAAATTAGTACCCAGCACGCCACTGTATAAGAGACTTATTTGATTTAGTTTGTACTTAGTTTCTGACGAAGGGTGTTACATGCAGTCGAAAATTTAAAAATTTTTGAATTATATATTCTGATTTCTTTTGGTCGTGGCTTTTATTTTGTATATAATATATGTATATATATATATATATATATATATATATATATATATATATATATATATATATATATATATATATATATATATATATATATATATATATATTTAACAGTTATTCTACGAACTCGAATCGAATATAAGCTGATAGCCGATGAGGCGCGTAGCGCCGAATCGGCTATCGCTCATATTCGACGAGAGTGAGTGGAATAATTGTTTTATTATATACACAAGGTCTGAATTCACAGACTTTGCTTTTCGGATATTTTCAATATTTTTCTATTTTGTTTATGTTTTTATCTTCGCTCTTTCGGCCGATTATTTCTTCAAAAATATATATTTTTAACCATTTTAAATTTTAAAAATTCATTTGCTAACCTGTAAACAATTTGTGCGAGTTTTTTTCATTGTGTTTTTAATCCTGTAAAGGCTATAAAAAGCGAACAAAATCGGAAATTCAGTTTGAGCCGCCATTTTGTTTTTCTCTACTAGCAGGATATGAGCTAATATCCTGCTAGTAGAGAACCAATCAGATTGCAGAATACCTCATATCCAGACCTTGTGTATATAATATATATATATATATATATATATATATATATATATATATATATATATATATATATATATATATATATATATATATATATATATATATATAGACTATATATATATAGACATAAAAACTATATATATATATATATATATATATATATATATATTTATAGATATATATATATATAGTTTATAGACTGTCAACCGAAAAACTATATTACGCTCTATCTATATGGTATTGAGCACTGTTTGTGTCTCGTAAACCAAAATCTTAAGCTATATTTGCACCCGGTAATCGGTTGTGCACTCTTGTCTACGTTATTCATTTTATTTCTACTTCAAACATGCGACAATTTTGATTCGATTATTCACTAAAGAATATTCCGATACCATCACAGGATGCTTATTTAAAGAATTTGATTGAAAAAGTGGAAAGCGTAACAAAACGTATGAGATGGAAACCTAATTTCTTCCTAAAAGGATCAACGACTCAAAACCAAAGCAACCTTTTCGGCCTTTCGTCTAACAAGTCGCCTCCTTCAATTCCACTTTTGAAACCTTTCGAAGACGACTTGATAAAACTAATTGAAAACGTAAAATTCCGGTGTCCTAAAGACCAATTTCAGACATCTTTGGCTAACGATTTGAAGAAAATTAATTCATCCCCCAACATTTTCATTTTCGCGGACAAAACTAGAAACATTTACGAAACGTCACTGAACACATACAACGAACTCTTACATGATAACATCACGAAAACGTACAAACATGGATCAGAGGACTTCATACATGAAATTGACTCCGAATTGAAAGAAATTTCGAGTAGGTTAGGAATTGGCGACAGAATTGAATGAATGAAAAAACGCGAAGCATTTATATCTTTAAAAGATCACAAAGAAAATTTCGAAAACAATCCAAAATGCCGACTAATTAATCCGGCAAAAAGCGAATCCGGAAAACTAAGTAAGGTTATTTTAGATAAAATCAATTTCAATTTGAGACAAAAACTAAATTCAAATCAATGGAGAAATACGCAACAAGTAATTTCATGGTTTGGCAATATAAACGATAAAGACAGGCAGTTTTATTTCATTTGATATTGGGGATTTTTACCCATCTATTTCCGAAAAACTTTTAAATGAAGCATTGCCCTGGGCTTCGGATTTGACTACTATTACCAAAAACGATATTTCAATAATAAAACATGCAAGAAAATCTCTACTTTTCGGCAACGGCAAATTATGGACAAAAAAAGACGGAAGCAACAGTTTATTTGACGTCACTATTGGGTAGTTTCGACGGCGCTGAAATTTGTGAGCTGGTAGGCCTTTTCATTTTAAATCACTTAAGTAAGAGGTTTGGCAAGGAAAACATCGGACTTTATAGAGATGATGGTTTGGCTATTATAAAAAGCAAATCCGCCCGTTTACTAGACAAAACTAGAAAAGAGCTACACAAAATTTTCGAGCAATTTGACCTTAAAATCACCGCCGAAGTAAATATGAACGTTGTAAATTTCTTAGATGTTACTTTCGACCTGATCAACGCAAAACACAAACCATACAGGAAACCCAATGACGATCCATTGTACATCCACAGACACTCAAACCATCCACCAAGCATTACAAGACAATTACCTACAGCTATCAACAAACGCATTGCACTTCTCTCATCGGACGAACAAACATTTAAGGAATCCACACCTATTTACCAGAACGCTCTTACACATAGTAACTTTGATCATGAATTTACGTACACTCAGGATGCACCACAACGGACACGTAGGAATAGGCAACGCAACATAATTTGGTTCAACCCACCATTTAGTAAGAGTGTTAACACGAACATAGGAGGGGAATTCTTAAGTTTAATTGACAAACACTTCCACTACAGCACAAACTACACAAGATTTTTAACAGAAACACTTTAAAAGTAAGCTACAGTTGCATGAACAACGTTAAGTCTATAATCACCAAACACAATGCACATATAATTAGGAACAGTCAATCACAGAATACGGAAACTGACAACTGTAACTGTGACAACAAAAACACTTGCCCACTACCGAAACAATGCATGACCAACAACATTATTTACAAAGCAACAGTCACAACGAACAACACGAACGACACTAAACACTACATTGGTATGACAGCGACTACATTTAAGGAACGTTACGCTAACCACACTTCATCTTTTCGTCATAAAAAAGACTCAAACAAAACGGAACTTTCGAAACATATTTGGAAATTAAAAGAAAACAATCAGGATTATACCATCAAATGGTCAATTTTAAAACACGCTATTTCGTACACAGGGGGATCAAAACGCTGCAATTTATGTTTGGCAGAAAAATTTTGCATTTTGAAAGACATAAACAAAGACAATTTACTCAATAAAAGAAGCGAAATTTTCGGCAAATGTCGTCACAAAAACCGGTTTCGAGTAAACAAGGTCGTTAACAAAACCTAATGACCCAAGCATGCATTGTTTCACCTAAGCATTGTTTCGCCTACACACATTCCGCACATTCTTTCGATAGCATAAAAGCAACCTACAATTTCGAAATTATTCACCACCTGATGATTCCTATATACGGATGAAACAGACTGTTGTGGTTTTTTGAGGTAAAACGAAAAACTATATATATATATATATATATATATATATATATATATATATATATATATATATATATATATATATATATATATATATATATATATAATATATATATATATATATATAATATATATATGATATATATACATATATATATTCTGAACGTATTTAGTTCATAAATCAGTCAATTTAGATTTGTACATAATTAAAAATACTTGTACAGCAGAGTTCGATAAACTTGAAACATTTTCTGTTCAATAGGGGGTTCGTGGTAAAATGCACGGTTTTGAAATACGAATTCAGGACAAGATATACAGTCTTGTTGCTGATACACAGTCTGAAATGGAGTCATGGTTAAGTGTACTGTGTAAAGTAACTGGTGTAGATATGACCACTGGTAAATCTAAATCTGCGTCTTCTGGAGGATGGTTTAGTGGCAAGAACAGAGTATTGAAAAGTACAAACTTTCGTGAAAGTCTAAAACAGAGTAAACATCCAGAATTGATGGAGTTTGCACGGGAAACTGATCAAGTAAATGCTAAACGCCGTCAAGAAGGAAGGAATAAAATATTTTCTTTAAGTTTTTTATCTCCTAATATCAACGGAGCTGGCGACGAAGTCAAGGAAGTTGATATACCTCACGAGAGATTTGGCAAGAGGTTTCTAGTGCAATGTGATGATCTTAAATTTCGCTTATCACGCAGTTTTGACAGCGTTTCTTCTGTGAACATCGAACCTTTCTTTATTACACTTGCTTTATTTGATGTGAAAGAAAACAAGAAAATCTCTGAAGATTTTCATTGTGATGTGAATGACTCAGTTGTCTCAGAGATGTTGCCTTCGCCTGAGAATATATCTAATGGCGTTGGTGAATATGAACATCATTTTAGTTTTCCAAAGAAAGCGATATTTTCAGTGACATTTCCACATCCTGACGTTTATCTTGTCCTAAGAATTGAGAAAGTTCTTCAAGGTGGAATAACTAGTTGTACAGAGCCATATATGAAATCTGGTGATGCTTTAAAGAAGGGAGCTGCGAAAGCTTACCGTAGTGCTGAAATAGCTTGCCAGACTTTGTGGAGATATCGTATGCCGTTTGCGTTGGCTACCAGGTGAGAAAGTGTGGTATGAACAAACCACAGTTGACAGGAAACATTGTTTTCTGGCCATGTTTCTCGAAGGTGAGCAATTGGACGTTTTGAGCGAAGGCCCTTCGTCGGGAAGTTAGTGGGGGTCTTGAAAATCTCATGAGCTTTTAATAGAAGCTATCACGTGACAAAATATAAACCAATCAGATGGATTTAATCAAAACAAAGTGTAAACAAAAAAATGTAAATCACAGTTGTATTTGTATATTCTGTATATTTGTATTAATATAGTCTGTAATGTGATTTACATTTTTTTGTTCCAATTGTGGTCCAAATATTGTTCATCGTTGAAATTTAAAACTATCTGAATCTACAACCCCATCAATAATTACATTGAAGATATATGATCTCGTTATTTTGTTTAGGCCACTTTTCAAAAACAACCAAGGCGATTTGGATGATGAAAAGGAGTGGTCTCCGATTTACAAACAGGTAGGCCTACTGTACTGTTAAAAACAGGTAATGATCCATACTGAAATTGATAATTATATGATAGGGGTATAGGCGTTCTTTGGATGTAATGTGAAAATCTGTGAATCTAAGACAGGTTACAGTATCTGGACAGACTAGATAACGAGCTAATAGTTATCATACATGCGAATTTTGAGTTGTGAGCAAACCAAGTAGATCACACTGTCATCATTCTGGCATCACCCTGCAAACAAAAACTTGTTACTAGCTCTTCGCAACGAGACCTTGTAGGTCAGTTCCGGAGTGCTGAAGCCAGAATCCCAAGCTATAGATACGAGTCTTCCCAGAAGGCCAGTTTTCCACTTCAAGGTACCGTACCGAAACGTTTCAAAAACATTTTTAAATTTCAAAATTTAGTGAATGTTGATTGGTTAATACTTCCGTAGTACGCCAAAAAGTTGACTTGCGACGAACGTTTCATTTTGATACGCGAATACACCCGGAAGTACGTGGATTTATCAACCTCTTTTCAATCTACACACGCTCACTAGTACGTTTCGGTACGGTACGCTTGAAGTGGAAAACTGGCTTATGTAGTTGCATTTTCCAATTATTCCTGGTAAATAAATTCTTAAAAAGGAATGTAGAGTCAACTATTGAAAACATTTTTTTAACTTTGTTCTTTATTAAACGGTGTGCGTAAAATTTAGAATATGGTAATTTACCCTTGTCATGCAGTGGCAATTACAAATTATGTGTTTTAACGGTATTTGAATTGAACTTCATAGAAATGAAGAACTTGAACACGTGGTCTTGCCAGTGAAATTTAAGTAAATGTCAGGATTTTGGGCCTACACTCGATATAACTAATTGTAGATGGATTTTGTAGAATGAAATTTTGAGTGTGAAATTTAAGTACCTTATTTTACCAACTGAAGACTATTATTGTGATTTTAAATTTTGTACAGGATAGTGGCAAGCTGAGTGATGATGAATTATTAAAATTGGTGGAAGATATGGCTGGGTTAGTTGGAAACTTAATTTTTCCATGACTTTGTCCGGGACTTCGTGAACAAATAAAAAATATTCCAATTACAATTATTAAAGAATTATTAATTATTAAAATTTGCCCCCCTCTTCTTCTCAGCTTAAATGTAGTCTGTTTCTGTGCTTGACTTCTAGCAAAGAAAAATTCAAGCAGCAAATTATTCCAGCAACTATCAAGATGAATGTGACATCATTACCTAACGATCTTGCAAGTAAGTGGTCAACCTCGTTCCCTTCCCCAGACTCTTCTCCGCGCTCTTCGGGAACGAGGTTGATAGATCAAAAGTTTGAAGTATTTGAGGTTTTGCTGACATCATTATAGTAAAATTTGTTGGTTTCAGACAGCACAAGCGAGGCAGCAGTGGTAGTCAGCTTCAGAAATATTGACACTTATAAGAGCAAAATATCTCACTTATAGTTTTGGGCACCAAATACAAGACATTATTTTCCCATTCGGATAACTGCCTGTCAGCTGATATTGCTTATTGAAAGAAACCTTGAACCCCCACCTACAGAGAACAAGACTAAATGTGGTGCCCAAATGGAGTCGGATTATTTTCTGAAAAAATGTTCTCATTGCCTCAACCTCAACTCTCATTGCATGACCGAACCTAAGAGCTCCGATTTAACGTAACAGCGCTCTGATCACTGAGCTGTTAGGACGTACGATTGTTCCACCCACTCAGAAATGAGCAATTACAGTATATCTGGCTCCTGGTTGGGTCAGGCCATATCGTCCCTTAAGATCTATGTTATACATGAAAGTGGGTTTTTCTCAAATGTTTTGCGGGCGATCATTGTACTAAATCACGTCATTTTTTTATCATAGATTCCATGACGGCATCGTTATTACCCGTACGGCCATTTAACGACAAAAGTAAGATTCAGCCAACACTTGAGGTTCAGGAGTTTGTTCCCGCTATTCCAGAAGCCGTTCATCCGCACATGGTCTATGCAAACAACTTCTATGTCTATCCACTCATGTTAAATTTTAACAATCAGAAAGTTTTTTCCAAGGTAATTAGAATTCTATGCGTTGTGGATGATCTCGTGTCACACGTAGAACATAATTTCGCGTATATTTCATAAAATGTCAACCATACATCTAACTTTAAGTTATAGGGGATACTTAGGTCTATCAGTTATATAAACAGTTCTTCCTAGAGAACTCGTGAGAGCCATCTAAGGCCCCCAGCTAAAGGGCCCCAAAATAAAAATAAAGTGAAATTGCTTAGATATATATAATTGTCAACTTGTCTCCCAGAAATAAATCAGAATGCAGGATTTTGCCATTCCTGGGACCCGAAATTTCAAAATATTCTGTATGTTTCTGGCCAACCCTGACTCTTACATCCAACTTAATATGAGAAATTATTATATAATCACAGTATGCTAGCAATTGGTCTAGTATGCACATTATTGTATACTTGTTTGATGAATAATTTACATTAATAGGCTAGAAATATTGCGGTTACTGTCGAGTTCAAAGAAAACGACACTCTTGCTTCTTCGCCATTGAAGGTAAACAACAATATTTTTTCAAATATTGTATGACGGAACTTTCTCTAAGCCGCATTTTAGTAATTCTGTGTTTGAATAATTAGACCATATAGGCTTAGTACAAAAAGATTATTTTAATAACTACGTTTCGGAGTATAACTCCATCTTCAGGTTAAAAGTAACTAAAGATATGAAACTTTATAAACAATATTGTTTTTAAAGTTTCATATCTTTACTTACTTTTAACCTTAAGATGGAGTTGTTCTCCGAAACGTAGTTATTAAAATAACCTTTTTGTCCTAAGCCTATATGGTCTAATTATTCAAACACAGAATTAACAATGTTTTTATCACAGAAATTATTCTCTTGTCCGTCAGTCTGACTCAGTCAGCTCTTTTCTTGTGGAAGAATTGGTCTGACCTGAATGTGTATTTGATCACGTGTCATATCTCTACTTTTTATCATGCGTGCCCATTCGCATGCATTTTCTGAATGCAAAATTTTGACTGAGAAGGATAGGAGTAGGCAATGAAAATCTAATATTTTTATGGCTTTATCGCGTGAAAGCAATAGCTTGGATATTAGAATGAAAGCACTTTAAGCCTGGTTTCCATATGGTGGTAAAAATACAGTCACGATCTTTCTCAACGGCCAGTTTATAACAGTTTACCTGTAAACCACATATAAATCATAAGTATTCTCTAGTTATAATCACTCTGCGTATTTTCAGTAATCTAAAATGTTGTATTTCGGCTGATGAGAAAGATTGTGACTCAATCTTTACGACCGTTACGACCATATGGAAACCAGGCTTAATTAAGAAAACTTGGACGTTTCATGTAAAGGTTCTTCCTCAGGAATTTTATACGTACATGCAGTAACTTGCTATATATTAATGTCCTGACGAAGAGATTTTGTTAAATTAGTTTTTCGGAATGTTTTCCACTCGTATGCACCTGTTTATAATTGTAGTTCGGTTTCACTAACCACTACCTTTCAGCAGAGATTTTCTTTGTTTAATTGGGTTTTTTTTGCTTTGTACTGTCGAGCAGCAGAGATTTCCCGGGGGGTATCTTAACTTCTCTATTGACCACTATGTGCAGCTCCGTAAGTTACATAACTGTAACTGAAATCCACCAATAAAAACCTACACTGACCCACACCTTACATAGTTGACCTACAGCGTGGCATTTTCTGTTATCATAGTGTATTTATAACCGGAGTGGCTGTGTAGTTCCTTCATTCACGACAAGTACAAACACTACTGTTCTTCATCATTGCACCAATCCTACATTTTATGACGAGGTTTGTATCTTGCGATTGTATTTACAGTCCAAATATTTAACAATCATGCATTTAGAAAAATTATGCAATTATTTCAACATGGATATACTGTAAAATTTGTAATAATACCTGTTGTTGTACATCAAGACATATGTATTTTAGCCCCCAAGTCCATTTTCTGAAATCCATTTGTACAAAATTACTGCGTCCATTCTATACGCATTACCATTGCAACAATAAAAGTATTTAAAGTATTACAACAATACTGATTGAAAGCAATACACTGTACCACATGATTTTACACTGGATCCTATTCTTAGTTTTGCGCCCCCTGCAAATTTCCTTCAGATACAGCATAGTTTGTACTATCTTGCGAATTAATCTTTGTTTATCGTGTTACTAAGTTAATATTTTTTTATTTTCCCTGCAGATCAAAATTTGTTTACCGGTTCATCTTCACAACAGACATCATTTATTGTTTACATTTTATCACGTGAGTTGTGAACAGAAGAAAGCGGCAAGTGGCGCGCATGCGTCAATCAAAGGAAAGCCTGCTGTGGAGATGCAAGGTACAGTGCGCCATGTAAAGTTCTGGGGCCGGACGGCGTTATCCACCGGGCAGTGATTTTTTCAAACTTTCTAGGAATGTCCGTTGATTGGTATAACCCCGATTAAACATTTAATATTTATAAATCAGAGTTTCTTTTTATTATTTGTGAAGTTCATATGCGCAGCTTTTTGAGCATTTTTACAATGGTTGAAAAATCACCATCTAATGGATAGCGCTATCCGGCCTTCATACAATCTGAAACGTGAAACGATAGCCTCTGGTTAAAACAACATGAAACGATAGATCCTGGAGTGGTTCAGGGGTGTGTGATAACCCCCCCCCCCCCCTCTAATGTTTGAAAATAGAAAATCACGTGGAGTAAGAACAAAAAACCTAGAAGACCAGTATAAACAATTTAAAAATTGCTATATACGTAATATTCTGACCATCACAACTCTGTAAATCCCCCAAAGGGCATGAAATGAATCTCGCGCCTTTGGCACTCGATAGTTGTGTCGTTGCAACATCGTCCCCAGGCCCGCGCCGGCCTAACGACGAGGATAGTGCATTCGACGCTCCCCATGACGACCCTTGTCATCTTTACGTTATTTTCTGACCACACCCTTATTTTCATTGGGCAAAACGAATCCACACCCCCCTAATGTATAGAGTTACGCCCCTGAGAGTAATCGACGCATCATGTATGGGCCCCTTCCATTAATCATAATCGTCACTTGTTTGTAGAATAAAGACCATCCAGTCACCCATTGTTTTGGATAATATCAGCATTTGTATATCAACCTTCCGGGCAGTGTATCACCTTGGCTGCAAAGTTTGTAAACTTCATATCATGAAACGGGGGTTCTCTATCCCCCTCCCCCCGAGTTTCTGCTTGTTTATATCAGGTAGTAATATAACCACTCAGCACAGTAATGAGGGTTGACTGATATAATTTCTTTTATCCTAGTCGGATACGCTTGGTTGCCTCTTCTTAAGGATGGCAGGTATGGTATACTGTACTATTTGAAACCTCGCCAAATCTAAAACGTGAGAGTTAGATAAACTCCCTTATGGGAGTGGGGGCACGGGGTCAGTGGTCGTTGTGTGTTAAGGTTGGATTTCTTAGGATATGCATTCTTCTAATCAATATTTTGCTTTATTTGCTGCGAAACGAGTTTCCCGTTATCCTGGAGCCAGAGGGTATTTATTTTCGCCTGTTTTAAACTAAAAAAAACTCTGGGCCAGGGTAGTTTCCCGTTTGACACTACCGGACAAACCCTAACCTGCAGGAAGAACAGTTTTTTTTAGAACCTGATGGAATTATGCAACGCAGATATTCAAATTTCAAATGACATTTATGATATTTTCGCCTAGGATTGTGCATTCAGAATTGAGTATTCCTGTCGCGACCTCAGCTCCTGATGGATATTTAAATTCTCGTTTTGGTGGATTAGGCAAGGTAGCGTTTCGACTGCTTACTTATGTTACATTTACATTGGTCGTTTTTATTCCATTAATTACAATATACGACAATAATTTATTACACTCAGTAACTAGCTTGAAGACCACTTCCACTGGGGGGCAGCTGGCGCCTCCTGCCCGCCCCCCGCCTCGTACGCTTATGTGTATTGTCATTAGTACATGATTAATATAAATTAATTGCTCTTAATGCTTGATTGTAGAATATTGGACCGGATGTAAGATGGCTAGATGGTGGTAAGCCACTTCTAAAGATCTCCACCAAAGTTGTATCCACTGTTCACACACAGGTACCAATTTACTGTCTTCAGCATCAGCATCACGGCTTTGTATAGGCTGCAAAATTAACAAATACTTAGATAAGATTTTGCCGTTGTCTGTTCAGTTATAATAGATACACAGTATGATGTCATAATGTGTATCTATAACTGAACAGACGACGGCAAAATCATATCTATTTGTTTTATATAATAAAAAGAAAAACCCCGAATTACTGTAAACAGGTAAATAGCTTACTTTTTATCCACCCAAACATTTGGAAATTTGATAAAGTCGAAATTTTACGCGTGGGCGTACATAATTTATAAGATTTAATATTTTATTTTGTCTTGTTTACAACGCTTCCTTTGTCTTTTTCGAATTATTTTATTTGCATGTTTTTAGACAGTACCGTTGTTTAAAAGTTTATGCTGCACGTGTTTCAATTATTTGTCTTGTGTTTATCCCAGGATGTGCATGTGGACAGCTTATTTCGTCATTTACAAGAAGCAGATGGAACTCCTGCCAGCGAACGAGAAACATCAAACTCGTTAAAGGTTAGTTTCACAATAACTGATTTTGAACAATATACCCCTGCATATTGCAAGAAACATTGATCATTTTGTAACAACTCAAAATATGAGTAAAAATAAGTCAGAGTTAAGAGGTGTTCATATGAGCCATACATAAAGGCTAGCAGCAGTAGGGCTGATTTTCACCGCGTTTTTACATGAGAAAAACCAGCCCTACTGCTGGGGCTGGCTTGCTTTCGCAAGTTGCATTTATGGCTTCCGTTTATTATGGCGTCCAAAATCATAGTTTGCCGACTAAATTTTGGAATAAAAACCAACAGACATTTCAATATTCGTTTAGAACTACATATATAAAGCGAAAAAAAGCTTTAAAAAGTTTAGTTTAAAATGGATTCGATGGCTTTTTCACTCAGCCCTACTAGGGAGGCCAGCCCTCCCTACTGCGTTTATATGGGAAATTCCCAGCCCTACTTACTAGGCGAGATCTCGCCTCGTCAATAGCGAGATCTCGCCTAATATAGGGCTGGCCTCCTCTCAGCCCGTCATGTAGGGCTCATATAAACAGGGCCTAAATCAGATTACATTTAAGTTGAAGTTTAAATTTAGTTGTTAAGATAATTAAAATTGATTTTTTCACTGGGGAAAATGTGAAATCCATATTATGAGATTTGCAATTGCACCACTAAATCTATAGTATATCCATACTATTTCGATACTCGATAATTATTCACCACCTGATGATTCCTATACGGATGAAACAGACTGTTGTGGTTTTTTGAGGTAAAACGAAAACTATATATATATATATATATATATATATATATATATATATATATATATATATATATATATATATATATATATATATATACATAGTATGGAAATATACAATTATTATGGATAATCAAAAATCCATTCTATTTCCAATAAAGGTCCATACAATGTCCATTCTATGGATTTTCAAAATTTTTTCCAGTGTTTTAGAATGAAAAGTGGGCAAAAGAGATCCCTCGCCGGTGTTCCCCACCCACCTTGATTGCAGTGAAATGAGTGCATTATTATTTATATTTGATTCTTATACCGCTACTGCTCCCATTAAGGGACCATTAATCAATCAGATGCGTTTGATATATCCAATTAGCCAATCAGATGCGTACTAAGCCAGTGAGAGGTGTGGTAGCTGCATGTAGTGGAAGTCAAATCTGAATCTACCTAAAATATATAGAAACTTAATTTTATTCCGTGAAATAAAATTTATTTCTTTTCCCATAGCACCTGTTTGTTGCTGATAACAGTGTAATTATTAAATATCTTCCAACAATATTAAATAAACTTCTTCATGTGCTAATTGTGACAAAACTTGATGAAGTAACCAAGGACACTGTAAGGTACAATGAATGGCGATGAATGTATACATTCTAATTGTAAATATATGTTATCAGTATGTTTTGTGTACTGGTTTGGGAAAATATGTCATCCTTGCGTGGGTATTGTATTTTCTCCCTCAGTAAATGTAAACATTGTTATTGCTGTACAGCACCTCTTCAATTTGTTTGTGCAACTGCTGAAATCCCCTGTGACAATGAATTCGCGATCGAGTTCACCAATAAAGATACCAGGCGGAAAATATACTGTAAAATTCCCCCCCCCCCCCCTTTTTGGCAGTTTGGGGTCCACAAAACATACTGTTTTCCTCGGTCTCAGTCAATAAGTTAAAACGTCTTATATAAAGTAAAAATCTTCTATTGATATTCGTTTTTAAACTATACGTCTTTCGTTTGGTATCGTTATCCCTATACAATGAAATAAATTGTATTTTTTTAACAGAGTTTTGGTGAGGTTTGTGTCACAGCTTCACGATGTGAACCGCAGTGATGTTCTGCATTCTTACGTTAAGGTGAGAACTGAGTGATGTCAATTTTTCTAGTCTTCCTCTGCACGAGGAGTGACAATAGAGAGCTTACTGTATAAGCTCAAGTTCAAGCAAACGACGTTTTTGTTTCACGAATGCCGACCAGAAGTAAATCGAGCCGTTGTTGTGGACGGTGACAGCCGTTCTTGTTTGAAGTCCCGAACGTGAAACTATTTCCTCATTCTTTATTGATATTGTATTATTGTTATTACAATATATTTGAAATATATTTGCAAAAACACTCAGTTGTGAGGTATTGAACTTTCCGTTCTTCTTTTCAGTATTCATTCGTAACGGATCAGTTATCAGGTTTTGACAAAACTGTTTACGAGGAATTGACTAAAGGATTATTGAAATTTTTGAAACCCGGGGCGGATCCAACGATTACTTCAAGTTTTTTAAAGGTATATACTGCTTTGTTGTAAAGTTTGTAATGTGATAGTTATTTGGACTCAATCTCTACATGCATATTTACACGATATACGCTTTGTCGTTTACAATTCTTAGCATATACAGTGTCATCGAATAGACGAATATTACGATAATAAACAGTACGTTCTTGCACTAGTCTTGCACTGTGTCATACTGCATGTGTCTCTGCATTTTAGCATGCTTGGTGGTTTTTTGAAGTAATTTTGAAAAGCATGGGAGGTCATTTGATCCAGAATGGCAAACTACAGGTCAGTTTTTGTATCATAATAATATTTTCATAGCAGCACTGGGGTTAGCTTTTGGTGTAGGCCGCTATGCGTTTCGGGTGATTGGAAAAGAAATATCCTCGAAATATTTTTTCTGAAGATGACTCTGTGATAAACAATTACTAAACTGACTTTATCGTCAAGTGTTGAATGGGATGGGGGGCTACTCTCGGCGGGTTGTAATTTCTGGGCGCTACCTTTTCAAAAGTATCAGAAATAGAACATTACTTAAGGAATGCTGCTGCAATTCTCCGTTTTGTAAACCGACAGGATCGCCAGTAACAAATGAGTAACAAATGAAAATACGAAATGAGCAGTTACCGTACTTAAAGAATTCTCAATGGTATTGTCGAATACAATTGATCTACAGATATTACTTGTTTTTTAAATGTTTAAATGTTTTTAATGGTTTTTCCAGAGCAACCGTGAAACAAGATACAGCAAAGGATTTTATGAAAGTCTTGAACATCTACTACAACTCTTCGTTCCTCAGATTTTACGACGGCTAAAGGAGGAAGCCCGTGTTGCTAAGGTATTTATGTGATTCACTTATTTAATCTATCTGTGATTTGAGGTTATAATAGTCATATAGCATGCAATCTTTTTTTATTGTATACAGGGCCACCCAGAGACATATGGGGGGGGGGGGGCCTGGAGCGAAATACAAATTTGGTGCCCTAGTGATTTCCAATGCTATACTACTAAAATTCGTTAAAGGGGGGTTCCAGGAGCATTCGCCCCCAGGGAAATTTTCAAATTTGAGGTCCCAGGAGACTATAGTTGACAGTTACATCATTCTATGCATATTTCTTTTTATTTGGGACCCCGGTTATAGCTGCTGGGCCCGGGGCAAATTGTCCCCTTTGCCCTCCCACGGGCGCCCCTGATTGGACGTTACGTATATACTCCTTCAATGACTTGTATTTCTTTTGACTCAGTGTAAATCTCACTTTTGTTCGTTAGGAAGCCAACATACACATGGCGTATTTTGTTAAGGTAATTTTTGCGATTATTTGTTTATAAGACTTATATAAAAAAGTATCGACAAAAATCATATTTTGTATGGTGACGTTAACTTTAGGCACATACCTTTGCGCGCTATTAACCGTGAATTTTACATACCTATTTTAAGTGATAATGCTACAAAATTGTTAGTTAACAAGAACACAGCTGTAAATTATGTTAACCTAGTTAAGCATGTTTAATAAGTAGTATATTACAATACCTACTGCTGATACAAGACCGCAAAGCATTTTGTTTACGTCCAGCTACTTCCTCCATCTTTATTGGAAGCATTAACTGGAAGTAGATTAAATGTAATTTTCCTGGAATATTTCTTTCTGTTTAGGGTTGTTTTACCTATATAGACCGTGGTTTTGTTTTCCAAATGATTTCCTACTACAATGAACAATTCAAAGACGCTGACACTCAGGTAAATATTTTCCAAGGAAAGTCCCAACCAATTTTAATTTAAGATACCGCAGGATAAATATTCTTTGTGTACCTATACAGCGTATTAAGCATATTAAGCATATCACGTTTAGTTACAAAATACATACGTGTAAAGTAAAAGTAAAAGGAGCTTTGAATTATAATAGTTTACAGCGTTTAGGGGTAAATCAGGATTTTGAGGGAGAATATAAGGATTTATGTCACTCAATATAACTAATTGTAGAAGGGTTTTGTGAATTTTATACATTTATTAGACCTAACCAGGGGCAGTTGGAAAAAATGCGACTATAATAGGCCCTCTGGCAGGAATCGAAAAATGTTTTTTAAGAATTAAGTGGGTTTAAGTGTCTTCAGATAATAAGTTATTTTTATTGACTTTGTGTATTTCATAGCTTTAAAAATACACCGTTTAATTCATCTGTTGAAGTTACTGTTTCGTATGTTGTTTTACGTAAAGACATGGAAACCTAAAATTTAAGTTCTAGCTTGGGTAAATTTTTTATACCTTGTATTTTAGATGATGGAATTTAGGTTCGATTTCTTGCGAATAATTTGTCAACACGAGCACTATATTCCGCTTAATTTGCCTTTGGACTGTCGAGCAACTGGCGAGTTGTATGAGTACGAGCTTACAGATAGTTACTGCAAGAATCACTTTCTATGTGGACTGCTTCTACGACAGGTAGGTCGTTATTGTTTGATTTTGTCACTTCACTTTAATTTTGCATCTCTTTTCTGCAGTAGCGCTCAACCTGCTCTTCTTTACTCGATTATACTATTGATAATAGTGATCTTGCGTTACTTCATTTACTTTACTCTACTCTGCTCTGCTCTGCTCTGCTTTACCCTGCTCTGCTCTGCTTTACCCTGCTCTGCCCTGCTCTGCTCTGCTTTGCTCTACTCTACTCTACTCTACTCTACTCTACTCTACTCTACTCTACTCTACTTT